GTTACAATTCCTTTCAGAATTGTTCAAGCGTTTTTCCTGAAAATTAAATCGCAAGACTATGTTTTGACCGAGACCGTGAAACAACTCCATTGGGAATCATCGGTTTCTCGCCCAACAGAGAATGCCGTGGCGAAATTAGAATCTGCAATATCGCGATGCAGGTATTGAATATCACAAAACGGTGCTATTTTCCTTAATAATATTTAGTGTTCAATTCGCTACATTAAGTCACGATTTTAGGGCAACCTTGTGCGGGAGTTAAAGGCTAAGGAAGACGGAAGTGTGTGGAAGCCACAATTAAGTGGTGATATTGTTGAAACTGAAACTGCGTTTAGCAGATCTCACTGGAACGGCGCCAGTTGCCATCGACAAGAAATCCAAGAAGAAAAAGTAACTACATTTCTTTCGTAACAGAATGGTGAGTTTTTTCATCTATTATTCATGTAGTTATTTAACTAATAAGAGTATTCGATTAACAATAAGAAATACACATGCGTTTTATTTTGTATGTTTATTTTACCCCGATCGCGCATTGTGTATCGGGACTTAAAAGGAGGAATCGTGAAAAGACATTTGACTTTATTTAAATGCGTTCATTCGCACTACGTATACCTATATGTAATTATTATCTGGTAAATAATTTACATAATATAATTGAGAATCCCGTTATCAGAAATTTTACCTATATTGATATTCTTTACTGATATCGTTTCCTCATTAGCACCTGTTGAAAGAAACCACTTGCTTCTAGAAGCAAAACTAGGTGGTGCTTTATCTTTTAGCGATACCTTATTTTCCTTAATTCTTAATTTTAATACCTTTTTCTACGTCTGTTTTAATACCTTGTTTAATCCATGGTTTAATGGTTCGCTTAATGTCTGGTTTAATGCTTGGTTTAATGCTTGTTATAATACCTCGTGTAACACCCGACGCTCGTTTTGAATGTATCGTGTAGAAAACAAAGTGTTCGATACCAAATACGATGAGCGAAATTATCATGCCAAAGAGCAGAAGATACAAAATCGGAGCCGCTTCGTAGATTGTCACACTAGAGACAAAGACCTCGTCGCTTGGACAATAAGGCCTCCTGGCCGACCGGCGACGTATCTCTCGTCGCCGAAGTCCCGATGTGGATATTTTCAGTAATCTGTATTAATTGATATTGACCTAATTTAGTATTTTAAAAACTGAAAGTTGCAGCATTCAACATGTAATAATGATGTACTCACGCAATTTTAGAGATTTCGTGAAAGTGACTTTTAAGATTGGACCACAGGCCCAACTCGGTGGGTTGCAATAGATGAACTTCCGTTAGCTGACATATCATCTGCTTGTCGAACTCACGTTCGATAGCTGGATAGATAGAGTCCGGATCCCCGTGATAAGCGAAGTCCCCCTTCTTTATTCTCTCCACGCCATCCGCGACGGGAATAAATCTCTTCGATTCCGGTAGATCGTCCCAATAGGGCTTAAAATATTGCACATCCGGTCTTTGGTTCTGGCAAAAATAGAAGCTTATCAGAGCGATTGAGCTCAAAAATATTGAATTACTATTTTGGAACGCGCTTTTACCCGTAGCAGAAAATTGAAAAAGACAATTTTCTCGGCCGCGATCTGCATCTTACTATGCACCAGCGAAAACAGCGAGTCATTCATCTTTTGAATGGGCTCGTTCAATCTAGCCGACACGATCGCCGCCCCGTAGTAATTATATACCAACAGGCCGAAGACCGTGATCTGAATGAGGGCGATTCGACTCGCCGATTGATTAGAGAGAGAAGGGAAACCTGATCGATATTATAACAGAAGAACGCATTATATTTTCGCTGTCGTATTGTCATGATCGTAAGTACCTTGCTGGCATAATGCGGCAACGGCGATTAACGCCGAGATGCTACAACTGCAATCTTCGGCACGTTCCAGCTTCAGTATACAGGACAGAATAAGAATTGTGACCACCACTATTACGATAATCATGTACCACGTGTTCGCTGCGAACGGCTTTAGCATTATCCACGGTTTTATCTTCGTCGCCGGTATGGTACGAAACATGAAACAGGTACTGAATGAAAAATTACTCGCGTATCAAACAAGAGCGCCGAATATCTTATCTGCGTTTGTTATATGTTATTTATACATGTACACATTTTCTTTATCGGGTATTGCTTACCGCGTGGGCCATTGTTGAAGAATGACACGCGCATATCCGTATCTCTCGATCGTCAGGATGTTCGGATAGTATGCTAAATCGGCACCGTCCCTCTTCAAGAGGCTCATCAGAGGACCGTTACTGTCGTTCTTCTCCCAGTGGTTGAGCTCGATGAGGTCCATGCTACATGCAAACACGTTCGTTGAGCAGTCAGGACATAGGTATATGCGGAGATATATAAATGTGTCACAGTCAATTACGTGAAGTTAAACATGTCGGCGACGTTCGTGAAAAGAATGTATCCAAATTTTGACCAATTGTCCGTGTCTTTGAGCCCGTCGCC